AGTACGTTAGGCGAGTTTATTGCGCGGTGTAGTATTGATCATTTGTTTTGTATAAATATATGTAGCGGATATTCAACCAATTCTCCGTATATTGCCATTATGGGAGTGTTTCTTTTGATACCGAGAATAAATCTGCAGAAATGTAAATGGATATCTTCAAATTCCGATTTATAAGAACTCTCATGGCCCCATATATAACTGCCATATGTCAGAATAGGTCTTACGAGCCTATGGAATAGGGACATCAATGTTTTTATAATTATATTAGGATTTTGTCCTAGTTTCCCTATTAAAGAGAACATGGCCTTTTGACCTTTACGTTTTAAGTATTTTTATGGCTTCTTTGAATTTCCCATTTGGGCTTAAAGTGATACCAAGATAATTGATTTTTTAACAATATCAATTTCCTGCTTTCATAGAAAAATATGTTATCTTCTAATAGTCTGTTCGATTTGTTGAAAACCATAATTTTAGTTTTTTCTGTGTTGACTGATAGTTTTCATTGTTTTATGTAGGTGGATAAGTTATCTAAACAATTTTGTAAGCCGGTCTTATTTTCTGATAAAATCACTATATCATCGGCAAATAGAAGACTGCTAATTTTATATGTGGTAAAACGTTGCTTTCTTATATGTTACCACTACTGTTTGCTTGATCTGATTAGGAGATATTTCATTTATATCGGCAACGCTAATTTTAAAATACTGAAGATCGTTTATTTTACAGAAGAGCGCCATGGACAGAAAGTCCGCCCTGGTCGAAACGACCGGCATTCCATGTTGATATGTCTCGGACCGTTTACTTATCAGTGTCTGACTGGTATATACGAAATGCGACCAAGAAAACGTCAGAGAGCCACAGAACCAAAACAATCGGTCGCCGTGCACACCATCAGTATGAATTTACACATAGAAATTGCATAGAAGTGAACGCTAAATACAGCTATCCCAGCCAGAATTAGAATCATCAGTCTTCATGAGTGATGTAACTGGTGTTTCCATCTATTTGCTTAGTGGTCTGAGAGTGAATATTGTCAAGTTCGAGTGTGACATACGTCATGGAGGTATAATGCATACGTCAACGTGAACATTAATGATACAATCAAAGACGTGCTGAACAGGAAGTCCATAGTATGGGGTGAGAATACCGCCAAAATTAGCTTGGTGTCATTATTTGAACATTGTTTAGTTGGTCTTTATTTAGAAACATGTTTGGTTATTAGTTGGTCATTATTCGGTTATTTGGTCTTTAATTAAACATTATTTTGCGCTTATTCCATTATTGTGTTATTACTGCAGCATCCTATTGCTATTGTTTCATTATTTCAACTTTATTTCTTAATTATTTCATTATTGTGTAATTGCTACAATATTATTTTGTCATTGTTTCATTATGTTACAATTGTGTCGTTATTTAGACATTATCTTGAAATTCAATTGTCATAAGATTCGGTTATTTTCACGTCCAAATGTCTTGACATTCAGTTCG